GAGTAAAAATACATAGTTTTAGAAATCAATGCTGCTAATTAAGTAGCTAAAAATCCATATAATAAAAAGTCTTGTCATCCATTTACCGATTTTATACCACTTAAAGTTAAATATACCTGTGATAAATTTTGTTCACCTTACTTGATGTCTGTACATTGTCCCATCACTTGGTGTTTTACAACCCACAGGGGTCCACACTCCAGATTTGGGGACTGAAAATTAGTGGTTTCTCAACAACAATAAAGTCTGGAAACAAATCTTTAAAAAAAATCCTAATCCCTAATATGAGTTTTGTTTATGACAGATACTTAAAGTTACTTAATCTTTACTTCATATTAACAAAAAAGAGGAAATCTTAGTCAATAGAATAAATCAGAATACTTATTTGTCCTCTCTGCAGGGAAATACACCAGAAAAAAAAAATAAACACAAGCTTTACTAAAAAATGTGTCAAAGAAATGTTACTTAAATTATTTAAAAACTATTCAATATAAATTATTATTTAAATACATTAGGGTAGTCTTAATGTTTTAAAACCAAAAACTATAAGAAAACAGAACAAAAATAAGAATTAAAAAAAATTGTTTCACGCAGAAATTTTGAGTGAAAAGTCTGCTACATTTGTGTGTACAGGCTGCATGGCAGAAATATGTATTTCAGACGTTCATTATGTTTAGATGTTCTGAAAAGAATGAATAAAATCTGTCTGGTTTATGAGATAATTTTGTGCAACGAGGATCACTCATTGTTGGGAACGACTCTCAGCTACTACCACATCTGTAAACTGATGAAGGCCTTTAGAACTTGTTATAAGAACTGTCTGAATTGGTTTGTTTAAGCAGCCTTCTCGGCTTTGAGCTGACAGCGCACGCACGCACGCACGCACGCACGCACGTGCGTCACGTCACAACAAAGCTGTAAACACGCAGCTCGACGACCCGTAAACAAAACCAGTGAGTGTGAAACTTGAACTGGTTGCACAGAGGCCCAGGAATGTTCATTTAAAAGTTTGTTTTCTTCCCAAAACAAACACATTTATAGGCTGAGTGTCACATTTACCCTTTAAAACATTTGATTTCCGGTGTAGTCTGGGCTACTTTTGTTGTTTTTACTGATTTATTTTTTAATTATACGAGCTTAAAACGTCTTGCATTATTCTTCTCTCAAAGAATAAGAAGAAAATAGGCGCTTTAAAATATTAAAGCATTTTAATTCAAACGTTTTCATTCATTTCTTTTCTTTTCTTGCTTTTAGAATAATTGAATTAAGTCAATAAAGCGCATGTCGGGTGAACATTTAGCCTTTCATGAGCTAATTCTCTGTCTGAGACAACAATTAGCCCTCGTGAGAAGCTATCACAGACAAAAGACTTCGTGTTTTCTTCTTAGACAAATATACATCCTCTGAAAGGCTTCTCCTGTCCGCCATGGATCCTCATAAAACAAAACATTTCAGTAAGAAGAAAAAAAAAAAAAAACAGTTTCAGCGCCTCCTATCAACAGTGACATTTATTTGAATTCATGTTCATGAACTGCACGCATCACGCGCGCGCTTCTCTAAATATGCACGTTGCAGAGTCACACAGGTGTAACTAATCAAGGTTTTACATTGTAAATCATGTCGTTAGTCTTACAGGTGACGAGTGTTAAATAAAGAATTCTTTGCTCCAACTTGAGGCCTAGAAGCGGAGCTGTGTGAGACCATCACTGTAAACGACTAAAATGTCATTTGAAAA